GATACGGTTGACGTTACAATGTTCTCATACATGTTTCATCTAAATTACTTTTGTCATTAATTTTGTTGTATTATTTAATAACATTAATTAAAATAGCTCGTTAGGTTGCTTGATTTCCACTTGTCTATCAATTCCCCGGGACCCGCTGCCCTTCTAAGGGCCGGGACTGAGTGGGCCAGTGGTGAGACCTTGGGAACCCCCAGATCGCGACGTCCTTGTAAGGGAGAGGGCCAGTGGTCGAGACCCGCACCTTGGCTGGGTCGGGTCAGTGTAGCCTCCCCTAGGTGGCCGTTAGCCGGAGGCGAGAGAGAGCCCGTGGCGCCAGTGATAGGCCATGCTAGTCCAGGGGTCGTACCCCCCCAGGTAGCGGTTTAAGGGCCGTTACCCCTTTGTGTTAGGGGCCGTTACTATTGCCGTTACGTGTTGCCTTCACACGCCGTCTCCACTCTCCTTGAACCCACTACACATGCAGCGTTTGTTCATGTCTCGTGTGGTCACTGTGATAATAAACTTGCTTGGCTTGGATTCCCAGACAATTCGGAATGGCTCTTTGGTTCTTTTGGTAAAGAAATTAAATAATAATAGAATACGACGTTTCAATTGCAACACAAGCAACCATCATCAGATACAAATGAATAGAACATAGTAAAACTTGGAAATATAATACAGGAAGGAACAATGTTCCACACTGCCCACCAGGGATTATTAGCTGTCTATCTGTCTGTCTGTCGGTGCATAAATAAATATATAATACACACAGCTCTTTGATTGGTGGAGACCTACTGCCGGGTACGGAGAGGGGAGGGGCCTAAGGGAGGAGGGAGTCAGGAGAGGGGCCTGTGGGGGGGATCAGAGGAGGGGCCTAAGGATATGGGGGGGGGGGGGGGCAGGGGGGGGGCTTAAGCAAGGGGGGGGGGCCAATAGTTAAGGGGGCTGGCTACCTGGCTACCTCAAGCCACGTGATCTTGTACATAGGTAGGAACAACAGGTTGCACACTTGCCCACCAGGGATTATTTGTCTGTCTGTTGTGCACGAATGCGCTGTCCAACCAAGTTCCTACCTGCCTACTCCGAAGGAACGTGTTGCAATACAACACAGAGAGTCAGCCAGCAAAACAATCAACACCCCACCTGGTTGATTACGTTCTTCCAAAGATTGCTAAATTTGAGAGACAAAACACACAGACACACAAGCAGATAGACACACAACACAGACACAGAGAGAGACACAACACAGACACACAGAGAGAGACACACAGACACACAATGTTACTATGTTCTCATATATATTTTGCTGACAGTTTCACCTGAAGTCAGAAGCTTGTGTTGCCTCCGAAACGTCGGGATTTTTATTCTTTATTTTTATTAATTAAAATGTCATTTTTTACCTAAGTGACTTTACCGAAAAAAATAAGAGTATGAATCCTTGCAGTCACGAAAGCTTCAAATCTAGAATCCCCTAAAATTATTTCTCACGCGACAGAGAGGGAAAAAAACCCGCCACTTTTAGAAACAAAAGCACAAAGCGTCCACACACAGCCAAAAATCACCCATCCACCGCCGTGTAGCGAGTAGCAGCAGCTGTGAAGGCTACCGGCACTTATAAATGTAATAACTCACAAATGTAAAATTGTTTTACACACGGAAACTTTGGCGTAACATTCCAATTCAAATAAAGGTTACAGAACAGTCTTTAACATAACTTCTTCACTTCAAGTCTGGCATCAAACCCTTCAAATCACCGCACTCGTGTTAACGCTTTCCCCATGCCACCATTGCATTGTGTCCCACAGAGTTGTAAGTGTAATAACTCACAAATGTATATTCGCCTTAAAATCACCGCAATCTTTGACCCTTCCACCCATTGCATTGTGTCCCACAGAGTTGTAAGTGTAATAACTCACAAATGTATATTTGCCTTAAAATCACCGCAATCTTTGACCCTTAAACCCATTGCATTGTGTCCCACAGAGTTGTACATGTAATAACTCACAAATGTATATTCGCCTTAAAATCACCGCAATCTTTGACCCTTCCACCCATTGCACTGTGTCCCACAGAGTTGTAAATGTAATAACTCACAAATGTATAAATTGTTAACAAATAAACTTTGCGTACCATCCTGGTTAAAGTACAAATTAAAGAACAGCCTTAAACTTCACTTCTTCACTTTCAAAGTCTGACATCGTACGCCTTCAATCACCACACTCTGATCGTTATCAATGAACCCTTTCACATTCCGGAAACCAAAAAATAAGCTGATCTATGGGTGGAGGGCGGTGGCCGAGTTAAATTGCCCTCCCCGTGCCTCTCACCGCTTGCCAGCGACCGGCCTATGTCTCGCAACGGGAGAGGGAGGAGGGGTTAATCAACTAACTGGCCCCAACGGTCGGAATCCCGGGCGGTCGTTTCTCTCTCTTCCTTCCCACGGCCGTCCGCCTAAGCCATGATGGCCCGGAGCGCCCTTCTCACGGCCACGCGGCACACGGGACACTCGCTCAGGGAGAGGGCGCAGTGGCCGCACGTCACCACGTGTCTGCACGGCGTGAAGATGATGGACACCTCGTGCTCCATGCACACTTTGCAGGACAGCCGCTCTTCCGCTTGTCCAGAAGCTCCTCGACCGATGGCGATGCTGTGACAAAGTGCGCGCACAGACACACACGCACACACACAGAGACACCACACACCAGACACACACGCACACACACAGAGACACAGAGACACACACGCACGCACAGACGCAAGCACACACACACAGACACACACGCACACACACAGAGACACAGAGACACACACGCACGCACAGACGCAAGCACACACACACAGACACACACACTTTCAGCGGTTTTCAAAAATGATCATCAGACTGCTTACATATGGGGCGCAAAGGTGGCGAGATGCTGACCACCTCGTCTGGTCGTGTTTCAATCGTGACCCTGATGCGACGCCTGTTGAAGTATATCTAGAGCCTGCGTCTCCCTCGTCATCACCGTGGCTATGAGATGTTAACCACCTCGCCTCGTATACATGAGGTCGTGACCCTCACCTGGTTCAGACTCTCACCTGTATCAGACCCTCACCTGTATCAGGTGAGGGTCTGATAAAGTGCGCAGGGATCCGTCGCCTTACCGTGCTCAATCTCCGCAGTTGTACTCTGCGGCGTCTGTCCCGGTAGTTGAGCCTCAAAACGAGAAATAAAATGAACATCTCGTCAGTAAGAATCATCGCCGGTGTCACACAGAGCCGACAAAATGGATAAAATACGCGAGCGACGACCGATCGCGTTCAAAACAATTGCAACTTTTTGCACCGTTACTCTGTGCTCAATTTGCAATTGGCATTTCGGCAAACCAAACCAATCCGCGCTAATGACGGGGGCAGGGCAGCTGCAGACGGCTCAAAATCGTGGAGCATCCTTAATATCTTTATCAAGTTACCATTTTCCCTGGATCTCTATGCCAAAAACCCAGATTATAGTTCTATATAGTTATAGAGTACATTTAATCTGGCTGTCGCCTGATGAAGATCGTTGTTGTAATTACTGGTCAAACGTCGTACTCAGATTCTAAATGTTGTGGCTTGGCTCTCCAACACACCGCTGCGTGCTGTACTAGTATTATACACTATACACTACTCCACTATACACTACTATATTTACAATAAGCATATTGGTAATAAAACCACATATTTTTACCCCTGAATGATTAACAACATTTCGTTTTTAATTAAAAAAAAATACGACCACGAATGTATCTCAATAGATTCAAAAAGTCAAAGAGTCTCCACTTGATAATTGTTTATTTACCCTTCTATCTGGCAACAAAACTGAACACCTTTTTTACGAGGAGTCATGTTTACATAGACCACAATACCTGCAGTCATAATGCAAACAAAAAACACAACTCTGATAATGTGCACTGTCCTTGAAGTTGAGTTGTGCGCCTTTTGGCGTCATCTGGTCCAACCCATGTGAGACTAGGCTCTAAGGAAGCTGTCTCGGGTGTGGACCAATCAACTTCAAGGACAGTGCATACATTATCAGAGTTATGTTTTTTGTTTGCATTATGACTGCAGGTATTGTTGGTCAATGCAAACATGACTCCTTGTAAAAAAGATGTTAGTTTTGTTGCCAGATAGAAGGGTAAAAAAACAATTATCATATTTTTACTGGCAAATGAGGGTTCCAATGGAGTCTCCACTTGTTCGCCATCGATGTCGAAACATGCCTGGAATCATCCTCCAGTCGGTACCCAGAGCCCAGAGGCACATTAGGAAGGACCCGCATCGCCCCAAACGAGCGATGTCAGAACGTCACCGGCGCCCTCTCTGGCGCACCCACCTTGAGAGCACAGGCGGGGAAGTGCCTGGCGTGCTCCCGGACGGGGTCGTCTCCCGCCTTCCAGCGATGCATCATCCCGCCGCAGCGGAAACAGGCCACCAGGTCGTCGGGACCCACGCGGTAGAGTCCGGCCCGCGCCAAGTCCGCGGACCGCACGGGGGACGACTCGGGCCACCCCTCGGAGAAGGACAGCAGCCTGGCCGCTTCGGCGTGCATCTCCGAGGCCGACGGCGGCGGTGGGATCCGGTCCGAGCGGGACACCGGGGGAGCGGGGCGTCTCGCTGCCGACGCCCTGCGAAAGGCCCGTGTCTCTATGACGCGCGACATCGACCGAGCGGAAAGGATACGGGGCAATTTTGGGGAGAAGAAGTCGTCGTGCGAATGCTTTTGCAACGGACAAGTTGGCCCGGGCTCTCTTGTGGAAGATCACTCGAGAAACGTCGAGCCTTCTCCTCCTTTCCGGCGTGAAAGAGACGGGTAGTTTAAACACCGGCGATGGGAAATGGCACGACTCCTGTTGTCACTCTCAATAGCTCCTGAATACGGGAAGAAAAAGTTGGGCGGCAAGTGTCATTAAAAACGGACATCTTTTAGTGACTTGAAACCTTGGTTTAAACAATTCATCCATTACAGGTTTTGTGGGGTTAGATCGCGTAAATATATTAATGTTAAATCCGCCACCACCCGACACAGCCAACTAGTAAGGGTTGTCACGTAAACAGAACAACCTCTATTATGGATGATATTGGTCGCCAAAGCCTACGTGTTAAAAAGTTAAACAGTTCAGTCTGTCACTTCTGACAAACGTTTGCACAGCAATAAAAGGGCACACAAAGTCTGGATGGTCCTGTAGCAAACGGAGTTTTGAGGGTTATCTGGTGTGAGAAAAAACAACACTACCCATAGACTCAGCACCGCACCATAGACTCAACACTGCACCATAGACTCACACTGCCCAGACTCAGCACTGCACCATAGACTCAGCACTGCCCCATAGACTCAACACTGCACCATAGACTCAACACTGCACCATAGACTCAGCACTGCCCATAGACTCAACACTGCCCATAGACTTGAAGTACCGGTGAAGACGCTTGACGCCGAGGTTGAGGCACACGTATATTTATTTCACAATACGACAGTGGGCATATACACACTCGAGGGGGTATCGGCCCCCTCACCCGTATAACTCGGGATACACCCCTAGCTAACTCTGTCCTAGCCCCGAATCCTCCACTAATGGGCTAGGGGAGGCTAACTGGCCCGACACTGGTAAGTCGGGCCCGATACCCGGAGTTCCAGACCAGCTCTTACAAGAGCACCGGCTCTGGCTTTCGGGACCACGCCGCTGGCTCAGTCCTGTCCGGCCCTGAAAAGGACATCGAACTAGGGGAGTCCAGGGCTCTATCTAATACGTCTTCAGTCTTCTTCCCTTAGCTTAAACATAACTGACTCGAGCCCTTTGAACATCCCCTTTTATACCCAACCCCTCCCTGAGGGGTGGGGCCCCGGGGGATCATAACGTTCGAACCAGCCCCCCCCAGGGTGTCTGGCTCGGACGTCGTAGAGGGCACCTCCTCGTGTACTTACGTAGCCCCGCCCACTGTGTTTGTTTTCCATAGGCTGCCATGCATAACGGGCCCTCTCTTTAACACCCCTACACCCCCCCCCCCCCCCCCGCATAGCTTGCAGCCGTCCCGGCTGCCAACATACAAAAATGACAATAAAAGTGCATTTACACCTTGACCGCGCGTGTGCCTCACTATTTTTCAACAATAACAAGAACAGCAACAAGAACACAACAAAATGCAACAGCAAGAAGAGAAAACAACCCGACGCACCCCCCCTTGAATAAATACGAATTCCGTAAAAAAAACAACCTATATACAATTTGCAGGGAACCCACCATACACACAACACCAGGTGAACCCAACGTATGTACATTTCAATGGGCAGGGAACACACCACCCACACAACACACAATGAACCAAACATATGTACATTCAATGGGCAGGGAACACACCACCCACACAACACACGATGAACACAACCTATGTACACATCTTCCGGCCTCATAACAGTCTGCGCATTTTTGCGCGCGTCCTTGCCGCGGGCCCCTCACACGGGGTAACCCCGGGTGGCGGACCGTCAGGTGGCAATTGTCCGTCCCGGAGTGAGTCCTCATCCGATGCCGCGCGACCGTCGGTATCCCCAGGAGGGGTGGTCGGGCGTGAGCCCGTCAGTCCTGATGCACCTGGAGGTGGCACGGCCGGCAAGGCATTAGGTGAGAACGACGGAGACGGACCCAATGAGTCGGTCGACCCCCCACACGTTTGGCCACGCATGTGTGAAGTGGGTTTGTGTACCGCAACGAAGGGTTTTAACCTAGAGGGGTGCACGAACCATCGCCGCTTCCCCCATTTAATGCGCACGCACTGTGGTCGCAAAACTTCGACCACCTCCACAGGGCCCCGCCACGGCCGCACGAGCTTAGAGGAGGTAGCCAGTGGCACTTGGGGACAGTGCAGCCATGCCTTGTCCCCCGGCTTCCACTGTATCATGTGCGCCCGACCCAGCCTGAGGCGCTCATTCGCCTTTTGACGGAGGTCCGAGTTTAGCATTGCAGCATCCCGCGCCTCTGTTAATTTGGCCAGATTAAATTTGACGTGGTCAGCCAATTTAGTTTTCCCTTGCGGTTCGGGGATCTGCAGCTGGGCGCGAACAGGCGGGTCGGGTTCGCGACCGTACATGAGGTAAAAGGGGGAAAATCCCGTAGCTGCATGGGGTGCCATCCGGTATGCCGCCAAGACCCCTTGAATATGCAGGTCCCAGTCAGTCTGTGAGTCCGAGACCTGCTGTGACATCATTGACGTAATGGTGCGATGCAGGCGCTCGACCATCCCGTCAGTTTGCGGGTGATACGGGGAGGTACGAATTTTCTTCGTGCCTAGGAGGTCACAGACTTGTTTGAGTAATTTACCGGAAAAATTTCTGCCCTGGTCGGTCAGCAGCCGCTCCGGAGCACCTTTGTCCAGGACGTATCCCTGAACAAAGGCCTCCACGATGGCTGCTGCCGACTGGTTGGCAAGGGGCCAGGCCATAGGCCAGCGTGTAAAATACTCGACACCAGTCAACAAATACCTATTGCCCCTGGGGGTGGCGGGAAATGGGCCCAAAATGTCCAGCGCGACAAGCTCATTTATTCTGGACACTTTGATCGATTGCAAGGGCGGGTTAGACTCCCCCGCCGGCGGTTTCCGTTGCGCACACCGAGGGCATGATCCCAATAGATCCCCAACATCCCTCGTCATGCCAGGCCAAAAAAAATCAAGTTGTAGCAGTGCAAGAGTCTTTTGGGTCCCCAGGTGTAATAGGCGCTCATGCGCGGCCCACACCACCTTGCCTCGCAACCCAGAAGGGACCACCAGCCGATGTCGCTGGGATTTCCCGTCCCAATGCATCAGCAGACCTTGCACCATTTCCCATGCATCCGAATCACCCTTCACACGCTCAGCACCCCCGACGCGACGACGCCACCCGAGGAGGGAGGTATCCTCCATCTGGAGGCGCCCCCATTCAGTGACGGGCAACCCCAACAGGGAATCTCTTCCCTGTTGTTCGATCGAATTAGTAATTAATGTTTCGTCGTCGTCGGTGGCTGCCAAGACCGGAACCGATGCGTCCCCTGAAGGCCTGCAACGTCCCGACCCCAGGAGGCATGCACATTCCGAGGTGGTTGGCATGCGCGACAGAGCGTCCGCATTCGTATGGCGAACGCCCTTACGGTAGGTGGTTTCAAAATCAAAGTCCTGGAGAACCTCCAACCATCGAGACAACTGTCCCGATGGTTGTTGAACTCGCAGGGCATACTGTAGTGCCGCATGATCTGTGCGGACGGTGAAATGCCGACCGTACAGATATGGGCGATACTGTTGGATGAAATAGACAATTGCCAACAGTTCCCTACGGGTGACACAATATCTTTGCTCCGCAGGAGACAACACCCGACTACCGTACGCGACCACCCGTTCCACGCCATCAACCACCTGGGAAAGCACACCCCCAATACCCGTGTTGCTCGCATCGGTGTCGAGCAAAAAGGGCTTAGAAAAATCGGGGTAAACCAAGGGAGGGGCTTTTACCAGGGCGTCCCGAAGGGAGCAGAAAGCAGCCTCCTCCTCTTGACCCCAGTGGAACCGAACCCCTTTAGATGTTAAAGCGTGCAGGGGTTTGGCAATTGTCGCAAAATCAGCGACGAACCGTCGGTAATACGACGCGAACCCAATGAAACTCCTGACCTCTCCCACCGAGGTGGGAGTCGGCCAGGAGCTGACACACTGCGTTTTGGCGGGATCGGTAGCAATACCTGAGCGTCCCACGATGTGCCCCAAATAACGCACCGAATCGCGCAACAAATGGCATTTTTGGGGTTTGAATTTCAAATTAGCAGCCCGCATCTTTAGGAAAACCGCCCGCAACCTCTGGAGATGTTCGTCAAAAGTTTTACCAAAGACGATAACGTCATCCAAATAAATGAGGCACGACTCCCATTGCAATCCAGCCAAAACCAATTCCATCAAACGCTGGAAAGTTGCCGGCGCTGAGTGTAAGCCCATCGGCAACCGGTTGAATTGGAAAAGGCCGTGCGGTGTACGGAAAGCAGTTTTAGGCTTTGAATCATCGTCCAGAGGAAGCTGCCAGAATCCCGAAAGTAAATCGAGTGTGGAAAAGAATCGCGCTCCCGCCAAGGCGTCCAGCGATTCATCCATCCGAGGGAGCGGGTATGCGTCGGCAACCGAAATTTTGTTAAGGCGCCGAAAATCAACGCAAAACCGCAACGATCCGTCCTGCTTTTTAACCAGGACGATCGGCGCTCCCCAAGGGCTGGTGGAAGGAGAAATGATGTCGGCGGCCAACATGTCATCAATAGCCGATTTGACATGGTCCTTTTCGGCGGGACTCAACCGAAACGTGTCAATATGGTGACGCAGCAGGTGAGTACAACCCAAATCGTATTTATTCCGACTAAAAACGTCGGAAAATTCCCGCAGTAGTGTTTTAAGTTGTTGACGCTCTGAATCTGACAGGTCCGTCGATCCCGCACAAAGCGCCTCGAGCCACCCTTCATCGCTGTCCGAATGCGGTCGCGGCGCAGGGACAACGCTGACGTGATTTGCGACGGTTTCCTCACATGGCACCGGCGTTGCGTGAGCAAGCACGGTTCCCTGTGGGACCACCACCGTCTGCGAGCCCACATTGAGGACCGCGATGAAGGGTTCACCGTCCCCTCTTACTATGGTCTGGGCCGGAAGTAAATGAGGTCCACTAACCCCGGCCCTAGACGGCCCCAGCAGAACCCCTTGGGCCGCAATACCCTTAGCGAAGGGTCGCCGAAGTTTCAATGGAATCAACATTTGTGCCCCCGGAGAGACGCGCACCGTTCTCTCTACGAATGCCGGCACTGTCGCGAACGCCGTCCGAGTCGTAACGGGTGATGGCAAAAACGCCATGCGTCTGCCCGACGGGAGCTCAATGC